CATGATCCAATTTGCTCCTGCAGGGAAACAAAAATCCTTCCTGATCCCCCGAGAGCCATTCGGATATTCCCTGGATCAATACATGAAGGCTAAAAAACTTGAGACTTTAGAACCACTTCAAATATGGGTTTTTTTTGGGCTGCATAACTGCACATGCTCTGTCATTTTCAAAATGCAACCTACAAGAGCTTGTTGAAATACTGTGTATGTAGTATGCACAGTGTTTGCTTCAACAGTGAAAAAAAAACTTTATTTTTTTTTTTTTCTCAAAAGCAACATACAAACCAGATTATATATTTATTATAATCCCCTTAGTCATATTGGATCAACCAGAATTTTTTTTCTGCTTTATGGATACCATTGTGTTTAAAATATTTATATAGTGAGATTGTGCCAAAAGCTGCATAAGGAAAGCTTTTTCTCTTACTAGGCTTCCCAGAAATTTATTGAAATTATGCCTGTGCAATGTGTGCCATATCCCTTCCATTTTATTGTGAAAAGTATGAAAAACACTTTAAATATTTTGTACTGTTCAAAGCTAAATAGGGATGTAGTTTAGACTACGATCTCTGCAAGAAAATACAGAATGCTAGGTATGACATGTGTAGCATATTTCTTTTGCTATCTGAAAAATATAAATTTTAAATATACTGTATTTTGTTCCTCCAAAGCTAAATGGGAATGTGATTTGGTCAATAAGGTCTACAAGAAATTGTAGAAATACAATGTATGCTATGTGTGGCATATTTCTTCTATTGTAATTTGAAAATGATACATTTTAAATTTTTTGTCCCTCCCAAGCTATATGGGAATGTGGTTGTAGCATATTTGTTCTACTGCAATCTGAAAAATGGGAATTTTGATTTACCTGTAAATTCCACAGTTTAGAGTACAGTACAGGACACAGGACTTGTGTTCATACACCATGGGTTATATGCTGCTACCTTCAGCTCTGTGGGCACAGACAAAAGTTTTGTTGGGAATGCCGCCAGTGCACCCTCATATAACACTACCGAGGCTGTGGGACTACAGTTTTGTAGCAAGCAATATGGGAAACAGAGGACACAGGGAAGGAACCTGTGTTCTGTACTGTACTCCAAGCTATGGAATTTACAGATAAGTCAAATTTCCATTCACAGGACACAGGATTTATATTCATAGAAAATAAACTGAGGGGTAAGCAACAACATAGCAAACAGGCCCACAAATACAAGGGTCATCAGACCCGAAACACTCAGATGACTCCTTGAAGCACCTTGCAGCTCAAGTTCGCATAGCAAAAGTCTGGTGATCCACCCAGGATCCTGGTGATCAAACCTGCAAAACAGATGCTTGATGCTGAAAAACAGAAGAAACATCAACTGAACTAGTGGAATAGGCCCTGATAGAGAAGGAAGGAAGCAGGATATCCCTTCATGGGACTATCACGGAGGACAAAAAAAGGACTTTTTTCTGAATGTAGATGTTGCAGTTAGGTAGACCCTAGCTGCTCTGACCACATTCAGGCAGTGGAGTGAAATTTCCTTGGCGTGTTTCTGGCAGAACATAGGGAAGGGATGATATCCTCACTGATGTGAAGAAGAGAGGGAACAAAGGGGGGTCTGGGTCTCAAGGACCACCTTGTCTCTATGTAAGATAAGAAAAAGGCTCCTAGAATGAGAGAAAACTTTATTAACCCCTATTTTCACGTACCTTAAAGTGGTTCTAAAGCCTAAAGTTTTTTTTTTTTACCTTAATGCATTCTATTAGGGTAAAAAAACCTTCAGCTGTAGTAGGGAGCAAGAGCCACATAAGTTGATGTCTCCTCTGTAGTGTTGACTCCTACACCCTGTCATGGTTGGTGGGTATAGCACCTGCCAAAGATGACCCATTCAAGTGAATGAGGCCACTCTGCAAGTGCCCTGCAACAGTGCAGTGTGCAATACAACAAACAAGGGGTTAAACAGGCAGCGGTGTGTTGCTTTTTCACCACCTGCTTTAACCCTTTGGACCCCGCAGAAGCATGCAGTTGCAAGGCAACTTGCAGAGTGGCCCCATTTACTTGAATGGGTCTCGACTGACAGGCCGTGGCACCTACCAAAAGCAACGGGGTGTAATTCCTGCTACGACATGTGTATACCTTTTTGCTGCTGTCTCAGCAGCTAAAGGGAGTAGGGATTGGGGGTGCAGGGTTTTATCACCCCCCAACTTCACAGGTGAATGAGCCCTAAGAGTGCTGCTGCCGGATGCAACTTAGAACTCATTCACAAGTGCAGCAGATACTACTGCTCCTCTGCAAAGTGATCTGAGTGTGTTTGACAGGTGGTGAGGAGGCAATATGTTGCTTTCTCAACACCTGATTTAAACCCACGATTGCAGAAGCAAAGCACGTGATTGTTACATGGTAGTACTGCAATCAGATTTAAATCAGGTGTGAGGTGGTCCTGGTTGACACTGTGCCCGGTGATCTTTGACTTCTCCCATGTTGTTCAGGTAGAACTCCACCTCTTTAAGGTTGCCTAGCCCTGCTTTAATGTGTCTGTTTGACCTCCAACATCAATTACTGTATGTGGTTTAGGCAATAAGTCATGCAAGAAATTGTACACAATTTATATATGTGATATATGTGTGTAGCATCTTACTTCTATTTTCTTTCTTTCTTTTTTTTTTTATATGAGCATGCAGTTGACAATGAAAGTGGCTGCAACTTTTGGCCAATATGGCAAAACAAAGATAACAGTATTGATTGTGATGGTACAATATAAAACGGAACTATGTTCACCTATCTCCAGTATTGTGGAACTCCCCAACAGCCACTGATATTTTCGCCTTCCAGGTTCCGATCTTCGGTCATTTACATTGTCCGTGCCAAAATCATTAATCTCGGCATAGCCAAAATTATACACCTAGCTGTCCATGCACAGCTCACCATGTCTCTTGCACGTCTCTCCTGCATTAAAAATGCTACTTGTTTGGCAATTTGTTTTGTTAAAGTTCCATTTTAGGATTGAGCTGGTGGTACTGGGTCTGGTGGTAAGCACAAAGAAATGCATTTTAAGTATATTGTGGTCAGCCTACAATCTAGTAAGGGAACGGGGGGTGGCTAGGCCACAGTTAGTAGAATGTGAAAATATAGGTTAGGTGGGAGGTGAAAGAACAATTGGAGGATCGTTCATTAATAGTCTGTTTTGATACCATTGGGTGTATTGGAAACATTGTATTATAGATAGTGGAGTATTAGTAGGTAGTGTTTGGATGAAAGATGCCCAGACCTCAAATATTTGTGGACTTGTGTTTCCTCCACCTATTCCATGTAGCAATAGTAAGGTTTTAGGCTTTATCTACAAATAAGGAGATAGTGGGGCATCTGGGTAAATCCATTTATGCAAGGTGATTTTCTTTGCCACAAGAAATCAAACACTGAACAGTTGCTTGCAGCGTCTAGAAATGTTTACCCCTGAAATGTCCATCAGACCAATAAGTGCCCATTCTGGAGCTAGAGGCATAATGTACTAGCATAACCTACCCCTGTAATCCAGAATCATTTAATTTTGGGGTACACTCAAAAGGCACTGAACAGATCTGCATCTAAATGTCCACATTTAAAGCAAATAGAGAAAGAGCTTAGGTCCATGAGATGGGACCAATACGGAGTCATGTAGGAATGGTGGAAAAACAGGAGCCTCATTTCACAGTACTTTGTGACTGATTATTCCCCAGGATAAACATGATGTTTTCAAAAGGATATCCAAATGAAACTGAGAGAAAGTTCTTGTCCATTTAATAAGTCCTCTCATTGTAGATGAATAATCCAGTGTAGGGCTCAAAATTTCCACTCGGGGATGATCAGTACAGCGGTGGGGACAGTTACAAGCACTGATCTCCCAGAAGCTGAAAGCTGCGGGAGGAAGAGGAGGAGAATCGGCTTCTAGATGCTTCATTGAAAGCCATATAGGGATATCGGTGCTTGTAACTGCCTCCCCACTACACTGATCATCCCCGGCTGTCCATCGGATTTTTCTTTCTGGGCCCAGCCCCTCCCCCCATCCTCTTCACCAATAGGAGAAAGACAGGCTGGATCTGCTCTGCCTACCCTGTGCCCACCCACACATCAGTCTGTGCAGCCTCTAAGGGGATGTGTGTGCAAGAAATTGTATATAGAGCAGCCGGCAGCTCTATGCGTCTGACTGAGCCAGTGAGCCTGGGGCCATCAATGTGAGTCTGAACTCCCTCCTTTCCTTCCTCCCCCCCTTCCTTCCTCCCCCTCCCCCCTTCCTTCCTCCCCTGCCTCCTTCCCATCCCCCCTCCTTCTCCTCTCCCTCGCCCCCCCCTTCCTTCCTCCCCTGCCCCCCTGATTTGTTCTCTGATCTCTTTTGAATGAACAGTGAAGTGATGTGCAACACTTATAGACAATTTTGGGCATCAAAGTTTGTAGCCGTTTCAGAGGCATGCGCAATTTTAAATCTTGACATGTTGGGTATATTTTACCAAATAGAAATTAAGGGGAACTCTCCAACAGCATAACAGGCAGAAATATAAATCTTTTTCTTTAGAAGATCATGGAAAAGCATATTTTTTTTTTCTGTCTGTGGCCCTGTTGGAGATTTTCTCTCACTTCACGTGTGGTAGTACTGCTGTCAGCTAGACTAGAAGTGAGGGTAAATCTCAGAAATCTGAAAACAAAAAGCCTGACAGGAGCTGTAGTCCTTACCCACGCTTTCCAAAAACTAGAAAAATGTTTTTGGCTTGACAAATATTTTAAAGATCAAACCCAAAATAAATTAAGCAAAATAATCTGGTATTCAGACTCTTACATAAGCCCAGTCATTACTCTTTAAAGAGTATGAGAGCAAGTGAAGGCTACCAGCAAGACCTTCCCTTTTAAGAATTTTTACTCCTGCCTGATGCCAGGGACATTGTTTTCTTAATGTTAACATTAACAAATGCAGAAACAAACATTATAAAACTTATCTTACAATATACAGTACTTGCCTTTATTTTTGTATATACCTACCACATATTCAATTTGTTTTTCAGGTGCCGATATTCATGCAGTTGATCCAAGTCGGGAATTCACATCTAGAGAATGGGCAAGGTTTACAGGGAGATATGACACAGCCAATCTCATGCAAAAACTGCTGGAGAAACCACTTGCAGAACAATTCAGTGACCAATTTAAAATGGAATGGCCTAAGATGAAAGAGCTTCTTGCCAAAGCAGCGGAACCCAAATCATGTGCACAGAGAATCTCAGAATGTATGAAATCAGCATTTACCTTCAATTATTTTAGTGAACCCGAAGAAGATGGGGTCCTTGATTTCATGGTTAAAATTACGACTGGTATGAGCAGCCCATTTGTTGCTATTAGTTGCAGAACAGTATGTCCAGGCAGCCCGCCCTGTATTGGGAAACGTAGATTTACTGTACAGGAGATTCTCAGGAAACAGAGAGCTGAAGAGATAAAAACTTCAGATAAAGACCATGCAAAATCCTATGAAAAACTTTTCAAAAACTCTCAGGTTATTGTAGTTCCCAAAAAAAAGGAAAGAAGAGCTAGTCTTCAGGTAAATATAATTCCAAGGGCTGATGTGGTTAACAGAAGAACAAGCCTTCTACCTCTAAATTTATTAAGAAGAAGCAGTGTGAGACCAGGTTATGTAATTCCAAAAGTTCGGATCAGTAAAGCACCTGCACCTACTTACCAACCTGAAAAATTAAGAAGACGCAGTAGTGTCAATGACAACACTTACTTACAGATTCCAAAATGGCGGTATAAGGAGATAAAGGAGGAGAGAAAGAAAGCAGAAGAAGAGGCACTTCGAAAACTTGAAGATGCACAAAAGCAAAGAAAAAATTCTAGACAAAGAACTTAATGTTTACCATTTTTAGGTGCGAATCAAAACAATGTAAACCTTTGACTGAAAATGAATGCAAGTATATTTGACTGACAAAACAAGCACCCATATTTGTGCACCTGTAAGAACATAGCGAGTACTGTAGAACACCTTTTTTTAATTGCACTGACCGTTCATTTTTCAGGGGTAAACGTTTGAGAGTCTATCCCTTTTCCTCTACGTTCAAGCAGTACTGTTTGGGAGTCTTTCCCCTTTCCTCTACATCCAAACAGTACTGTTATGAGAGAAATACTTGGATTGCCTTTGCTGTTCTCCTTTAGAGAATGCTAATTGTTGCCAGGGGCGGACTGACCATTGGGGAACTCGGGCACTGCCCGAGGGCCCGGGGTCAGTAGGGGGCCCCATGAGATGTCCCTGGTACCTTTCATAGGCTTTTTTGGGTGTGATTTGAGTGTGGGCGAGGACACAGGGGCCCACTGATCCCCTATTGCCTGGGGGGCCCCATGAGTTGTCAGTCCGCCCCTGCTTGTTGCTGTCATGCAACTGTCACAGGGTGCAAAACAAATATGCACATCAGGACTTCTGACTTTGTCTGCATGCTCCTCTTTCCTACTGAATATTTAGCTCCAAAACAGCTAAGCAACTGCCATTTTCAGAAAGGAGGACAGCACAGCCAGCCCACACATTTCTTTTTTGACAGGTATATTTTATGCTTTTCAAAGTATGTTTAAAACACACCCCCTAACACCCATCACACTAGGTTAGTGCCCAACTGAATTCAACTTTAGGCAGAAGCTTTTAAGATTGTTCGACAAGCTTCAATTGCCACGTATTAATCCTTTTGTGCATTTGTTTCTCCTCAGTAGGAGCAAGAGAGAAGAGCAGCCATTGTTGGTGCACTATAGTGCTGAAAAATTTCAGACCACTGTAGGAAACAGCCGCTGTCACAGAGAGGGCAGCATTACTCTCACTAAGGTGTCCTTTTATCATGCAGCGGTAATTGACCGCTGCTCAGCTCTCCGGCATTCTAGGAGAACACAGTTCTCCTCTGAATGCCTTTTTATGAAGCGTTGTAGATCAGTTCTCCGAATGAAGGGAGAAACGATCTGCAAATGCTTTCAATGCTGAAAAACGGCTGCTTTTACTGTAATCTCAAGAGATCAGTCAAACACTGTTTACTAAGCAGCGGTAAATTATTGCTGCTGCTTCGTTTGCGGTTCCTCTCAATTCTCCAGCTCCGTGCTGGAGAATCTGGAGGGAGACACAGATCGCCAGTGAAGGGCTGACAACGCTCCTTCATACACTGGCCATCTGTGTGTTGAGATGATCAGCGGAGAACATTGTCCTCCACTGATCATCTCTGTTTCCTAAACCACCAAATGATCAGAGATCAGCAACGATCCTCAGGATCGCCGCTGATCTCTGTTTCATAAAAAGACACCTTAGTCTGTTTATCTAATCTTACGTTGGTGCTGCGGACAAACAAAAGCACTGTAGAGATTACATAGTTATGTTAAAAAAAAAAACGATACTAGTCCATCTAGTTCAACCAAAAATATAAAAAAAACACACACTCACTAATAGAAAACCTCTGTATACACAATCCTCCACCCATAGATAATCCAGAGGAAGGCAAAAGAAAAACCGAATAAAGCATGATCTAATTCACTCCAGTGAGGGGACAAAATATTTTCATGTTCCCCAGAAGGAAATCGGATATTTCCTGGATCAACTACCCCTGGTGTTATTACCTCTAAATTATAGTATTTTTTTTATTTTTGTGCATTTAGGAAGCATCTCCAGCTGAGCTGGCCAGAACCAGTTCTTAAAGGAGTCTATTCCACATTTTCACAGCTCTTACTCTGAAGAAGCCTTTGAGTATGTGAAGGTTAAATATTTTTCCCTCCAGAGGTAAAGCATGCATCGTGTGTTCCTCTGTAATGACCCTAAAGTGAACAACTCTACACCAAGCTCACTATATGGACCACCTATATATTTATTTACACATGTTGATCATATCCCCCTTAATCTCCTCTTCTCAAGAGACGTTAAATTCAGTTCCTCTAATCTTTCCTCATAGCTGATCTCCTCCATGCCTCTTATCAGTTTGTTGCCCTTCTCTGTACTTTGTCCAATTCCCAGATATCCTTTTTGTGAATTGGTGCTTACAAGTGAACTGCGTATTCCCAGGTGAAGTCTCATTAATAATTTGCACAGGGGCAAAAAAAATTTCTCTCTCTGGAGTCTACACCTCTTTTAATACAAGAAAGGATTTTTCTAGCTTTAGAAACTGCAGCTTGGCATTGCTATTATTAAGTCTATGAGCTACCAGAACAGATCAATATTTGGCATTTAAAGTCTGTTAAGGTTCTCATTTTTCCAGGTTATGGTACATGTATATTTGAAGTTAAACACTTGTTCTGTAATGTTGAAGATGTTTTGTAGTTTATCCAAGCCACTTCTTCAGTTCTAACAATTGTGAGCAATATACCCCAACATTTTTATATTTATACAGGTAGCACAGACAACTATGGACTGTATCAGAAAGTCTGTATAGGTGTACTCCTTCAATTTACATGGCTGAAGGAGGGAATTGTTGTCATATCACTGGAGTGATGTTAAAATGGCATTTTGTGTGCCCCTGCTCAGGGATCACTACTCCAGTTTGACAAAGATGGCATCTTACAAGTTATTCTCCCTGTATTTGATGAATATCCCTTTTCCTTGGTGTAAGAAAACCGAGTCTTGACCTGTAGAATTTGCCATCCTACTGCATGTTGGGCAATTAATGTGTTGAGGGTTTCTTTTTGACTTCCCAATGTACAGGTCTTGGCATTTCTCACTAAATTGCACTGCCTATACCAAGTTACTTCACTTGTGTTTTGTCTTTTGGCTCTGTCTCAGTGTATTGCTGGGATTGAAAACACAGGGATGCAATGCTTGTTAACTACTTACAATACCGGGCCAAGTCTGACACTTTATTTTTTACAGTACATGTAAAAATCAGTATTTATTTTTACTAGAAAGTTACTTAGAACCCCCAAACATTATTTGTAAGCAGCGGCCCAAGAGAATAAAATGGTGGGTGTTGTAACTTGTTATCTCACATGCCAAGTAAATAGATACTTAACATGTCACACTTTAATATTGTGTACGCCCATGGAATGGTGCCAAACTATGGTACCTAAAAAATCTCAGATGCTTTACAAGTTACCAGTTTAGCATTACACAGGAGACCTGGTGTTTATAATTTCCCCCCCCCCCCCCTCTATTGTTCGTGATGATTGCTCACATGTGTGTTGCCATCACCTTTTACATGTGTGTGCAGGGCTTATGTATTTGCATGTGAAAAAAAAAAAGCATAGGGGGGAGGGGCACTTTAAATTTGTTTTATTCACCATCCCTTTAATTTTTATTACTATCACTTGTGATAGCATGGGCTGTGACAGGTCCTCCCTTTATGGAGAGATCTGGCATCTATTAGATCCCAGATCCCTCCTCTGGCCTCCAATGCAGCTGATCAGAACAGATGGGTCTGGTCGGCTGCTTCTCTGGCCACTAATAGGGCAGCAAACAAAGAATCGCAACCGGATGATAACTGATTAACTCCTAATCATTTCTGATTTCTGATCTCACAGAGAGGGAGGAGTAATGTCAGCTCCTCTGTATAATACAGCTGATGCCCACCGCTCAGAGCAGTCCCAGGCTCCCTAATGGGATGGGAGAGCCTGGGAAAGGCATCGGCAGGAGGGGGAGGGCACCCTCTTCCACTGCCTGTAGAAGTGATCGAGTGACTGTATAGCAACCTGAATTACTTCTACATGAAATAGCATTCACTGCTGTAAATTTTGATACTGGGATTATGCCTGTAGTTGCAGGTATCATCCCAGTATAACCACTTAAATCTGAGGACATCATATGACATCCACCCGGGGGGAAGTTGTTAAAGGTTTGGGCTTTTCTGACACTCTAGCTACATATAGGAATACTAAACCACTCTGTGTGTCCTGTGTTTTTGCTTGATATTGTGGATTATGAAAGCCTTGTATGGGCAGCCACAAACTTTCAGAGCACTCCTGAGATGCTGCCATTCTTTGCATTTGGACTCTATTGATACCATCTCAGCGCAACGTTGCAGTTCTAATAACCAGTCTGCATTCCTGTGGGTTGTGGAAGTTACAAAGCAGATACTGATCCATGGAAGTGGGTCTCATGTATATCTTAAAGACCAAGTCACCCCCTTCCTTGATATAAACACAGCCCAAAAATGGTCATTTGTAAACGTGAGGTTTTTGTCCACTGAATTTGTGTGTTCACTAAATGCTTGTGCTACCGAAGTTCTAATCTTGATCCTTGGTAAATGAAGCTTTTAGGCAATGTAAAACGATTTTGCCTATTTTAAATTTTACTTTTTTTAAAGCAATCTCTGCTACGTATTTGGAAAAATATGTGCATGCAGGCAAACGTGCAAATACATTTCTCCTTTGTTTTTTTTGCTGACAATTTGCTGTACAAATGCTGAAAGAAGACTCAGATATCTCAGGGAACGCTTGATTGAGCTTCACTGGCAGGAAATCCCCACAGGCCATAGCCTTTTCCCGAGTCATGTCAGAACCATTTGACATGTCAGGAAGGGCGGCGTGTAATTTGCTGGGCAGTGTTTTTGGCTCCTCCCCCTGCTGCCTCTACATCCCTCCTAGTTTTTACACAGCTAAGGGGCTTGTGTCAACGATAACAGTTTGAGACATATCTGAGATCATTCAGAATGCATTGAGAGATGCATTTGACCAGCTTCCAGCCTTCTCCAAGAAGATTTTGCATTTTGATAGACCTGAATGCAAAACGTGTTTGAAATGAACAAAAGACCCTTCACATCGGCCCTTAGTGTGGAAGCAAACATCAGTATATGGTACTCTTGTACACACCACAGTTAGAGAAAAAATTTATTTTTCCACCTCAAACATTCTTGAATCTCCGAATAAGTCAAAGAGTGCGCTAAATATAAGTAAATACAAAAA